GGGGCCTCCCCGTCGCGCTCCAAGCCTCCCTCCGGCCCGTAAAGGGGCGCCGGGCTCGCGCCCGGCTTTCCGCGGGGGCGCCAACGCCTCGGCCTGCTCGGCCGCCCCCCGCCCCCGCTCACGCGCCCCCTTCCGCTTCTACGCGCCGGAGAGGGAGGGGGGGCTCCGGCCAGGGGCTCCGGGCGCCCTGCAGCTCCCCAGCCAGGTCTGGAAGCCGCGGGGCGGGGCGGGGGAGGAGGAAGAGGAGGATCGGGAGGAAGAGACGAGAGGGCAGGTTGCAGCTAGGCGGCCCGCACGCCCCGGACCCTCTGCTGGCGGCCGCGGTCGAGACGCGGCGGTGCGGACGGCGGCGGGCCTGGCGGGGCGCGGGGTCCGGGGGCGCAGGGCGGGCTCCGGAGGGGTGCGGAAGCAGGGAGCCCCCGGCTCCTCGCTACTCCAGGTAAATGTCCTCTGTGGGGCAAGCGAACTCCAAGTGCTCCTGGTAGTATTCCTGAAAGGCGCGGCTGCAAGAGAGGGGACGCGAGGGGACGCGTGAGTGGCGGCGGCAGGGCCCGTCCGGCGCGGCTCAGGCCAGGCGGCCCGCGAGCTGCGCCAGAGCAGAGCCCCCCGGCCCCCCACCCCTGCTGCGCTCCGAGGGCCGCCCAGGTGGAGGGCAGGTGCCGGGCGCTCGGCCTCACTCGCCAGGTGGCCGGCTGGCTGCGCGCCTCGGCTGCCCGCGGGTCCCCCGCCGCCCCGCCAGGCTCGCTCTCCCGCCCTCACTGGCTTTCTTCAGCGCTCCCGTTCAGAAGAAGGCACGGGTAAGGGGGGGGGAAAGCAGCCCCACATTCCCCCCAGCACCCGTTTGCCATGTCAAAAGCCAGAGCCACGGCCAGTGCCCGCCCGGAGGAAACGCAGAGTCGGGCAGCATCACCTCTCCAGCGTCCGCCAGCGGGCCGGGCCTGGGGGGGGTCCGCCGCCTTGAGGCCCCCCCTCCCGGGCCCGCCCCCCCCCCCCCCCCCGCCCCAGGCCCTGGCTGGATGAAGGGAGGCCCAGGCGCTGAGGAAGGGGAGATGAGGAAGGGGCCGGGGGGCCATCGAGGTCATGCCATCTGGGCGGACGCCTGCCTGCTGCCGCGCGCAGGAGGCCCTCCTGCCGGGCAGGCGCAGGGCAGGTCAGGGGGCGCCCGCAGAGCCAGAGCAGTGGTCGCCCCCGTGCTCAGGAGCGGCACGTCAGAGCCAAGCCTGGGGGCCACCGCGGGATGCCTGGACCCCAGCATGCCCCCCACAGGGCGGGGCCAGTCATGAGCCTGCCAGGTCGGCCGCACCGCCACCTTCCTCGGGCAGCCCACAGGGGCCGATTGGAGCAGTGGGGCCACTGCAGGGACTCCCCGCACCGACCCCCACTCACCCGACACACTCCGCGACGTGCCGCATGGACTCCTGGGAGACAAAGACGTGGCAGGCGAAGCGACTCAGCACGGGGTGCTTGGTGATGAAGCCGAAATAGCTGCAAGGGAAGACGGTTGCCAGGGGGCCGCTGCGCAGGGCGGCGGGGTCCGGGCGGCCCTGCCGGTGTCCTGCGTGGGAGGCCGGTTTCCCCAGGGGGGAGGAAGCGGGGGACGGGGGGGAGGAAACAGCTCACCAACTGTTCCGGGGGTGGCACCCGCAGAAGGAGATGTTCTTCATCTGGAAGAAATGGCTGCAGCGCTCGAGCTGGAATGAGGGCGGGCAGGGGGTTCAGAGGCCACGCCGGGCGCCCCCACCTCCCATCAGCACCCCCTCCACGGCTTTTGGGTATGACTCTGGGCAGGTTCCGCAGGCCAGGCTGCAGGCAGCCCCGGCGGGGGCGGGTCCATGCGGGGGCTGCACCCCTGCTTCCGAGTGGGGGTGCCCTCCCCCCACGTCCAGAGGCTGCCCAGCTCAGAGGTCCGCGGTCCGGCCACGCGTGCAGAAGGCAGCAGGCAGGGGAGCAGGAGGGCAGAGCAGCACCGGCGCCTGGCCGTGGTGGCTGGAGAGCCCCAGGCCCCGAGCCGCTGTGCGGGCAGCACCTCTTCCGTCCGCACCCGTCCAGGGACAGGGCGGCACCCGGGACCGTGTCCAGCTCCGCTTCCCGCTCTGGCCCTGCCGTGGGCAGCCGGAGACAGTGGCCGACTCGTGTGCCCATGCCGTTACCCGGCTCTGGGGACCGGGGGGATTCTCCTTGGGGGGGCTCTGCCGTGGAAGCAAGCGAGACTCGGCTCTCTGGCCCCGAAGGCCCCCGCCCACATGCAAGCCCCCTGCCCAGGCCTCATGGGGGCAGTCCACCCTCACCTCGTCATCCCGGCCGTACTCGTTCACCGTAAGGATGAGCTTGATGCCCTGCAGGCTGACCTCCAGGTCGCAGGTGGCTGGAGGCCGCAGATGCACCGTGAGCTTCCGGGTGGTCGCGATCTGCAGGGGCAGAAGTGAGGAGGGGTCAGCAGAACTGGCGGGGGGCTTCCCAGGAGGCTGAGCAAGGCAGCTGCAGCCTCTGAGACACTGCCGGCCCCTTCTCCCCTTTCTGGGACCATGAGAGCCAGCGCCCCCCCCCCACGCAAAGGATCTCCGCAGAAAGGGGCTCCAGGGGTGCTCCCCAAGCCCCAGTTGCGCTTGCAAACCGGCCTGCACGGGGAGATGGGGCCCCAGCCATGACTGCACCTCCAGGGAGGGGCCAAGCGACCTGGGGGGGTGGGGGGGAATGCCCTTTTTTGGAAGCCTGAGCAGCAGCCTGGCTCAGCATGTGGCGTCTAGGAGCGGGGGGCTGGCCGAAATCTGTCTGGAGGCTGCTCACCCCCAAGCCTCCTGGGCGGCCAGTCCAGGCTCCAGCAGAAGCCCGGGGCCGCATGGGGCGGGAGGCGAGCGAGGGCCCCAGGCCGGCCAGATATGCCCCGCTCGGTGGCTGGGGGCCGGCGTGGTGCAGCAGAGCCCCCCCCCCTCACCTTCTGCATGGCTGCGCACAGGATGCCGTTGCCCTGGTGGTGGGGCACCTCCACCGAGCCCAGGAACTGGACGTTGAAGCGCTCGACCCAGCATGGATTCCGCTTCAGCCCTGCAGGGGCAGCAGAGCCAGTGGGCTGGTGCCCCGGAGCCCCTCTTGCCCCCCCAGCGCCTGGCCCCCACGCGGGGATGGCTTCCTCCGGGGCGTGTGTGTGCCAGGTGGGGCGGCCCGCCCCAGTGAGCTGGCTGCCTGGGCTGGATTTGGGCCCGTGTCTCCCACCTCCCACCCCGGCCCCCCTGTGGCAGCACGGAAGCGCATGACCCCCACCTTCAGGAGTCGACCAGCCCCTGGAAAGGCGCAGGATTCCACACGCGGGAGTGAGGCCGATCATTCTTTTTGCTTGTGCGCCGCATGAGCAAGTCCACCGAGGGCGATTTGCCAGTGTGCCCCAGCAGGTGGAGGGCCCGGGTCAGGACTCCCCACGGACGGAAGGGCAGGGCGGCCATGTCCCCCCCATGCAGGAGCTGCACCTTCTGCCCAAGGCAAGAGCCAGGCCTGCGCTCCAGCCAGCTCTACCTGATGTTTTCCTCGCTTTCCTGTCCCAGGTGTACTCTGACACCTGCGGCACCTGCCAGGCAGGCCCTGATCTGTTCAGCTCGGTGCGCGTCTCCGTGTGGAGACAGGGTCACAAACCACAGGCCCCCCGGACATCACGTCCACCCCAGATGGCTTGGCCTTTGCTCTCCCTTCCCGCGTCACCTGGCTGGGGACTCCAGAGCTTGCGCACTTCCCTTGGGGGGAAGGGGGGTGGTCCTAGCAAAGAGACTGCCCAGCCCTGGATTCTGCAGTATAATCTAAAAACACTGGGAAAGTGGCATGCAAAACAATTTAACCACATTAAAAAAGAGCAGGAAATTCCCTGAGCTCAAGCAAGACCTGATTGGACCTGATTAAAGCACCAGCAAAGCTCCAGCTAATTAAATGCCTGCCAGAGAGGAAGGTCTTGACTGGGTGTGGGAAGACAGTGAGGCTGGCAGCAGGCAGACCTCCATGGGGAGTGGGTCCCACGACGGAGGGACCGCCACTGAAAAGGAGCTGGCAGCTGGGGGCAGGTGCCACGCAGGAGGTGCTGGGGAGGGGTGCCACGTCTGGTATTTCGGTCCCAAGCCACGCAGGCCTTCTAGGTTCGGCCGGCACCTTGACCGGCGCTCAGAAGGATGCCGGCAGCCCGTGCAAGCAGGCCAGGACTGGGGTTCGGTGCTCACACCTCTGCTCCCATTATTAGTCTGGCTGCTGCAGCTTCAGAACAGTCTCCCCGGGCAGCCCCCACTGCAGTGGCCCAGCTTAGAGGTTGCCAGAGGACAGATGGCTGGTCATTTCTGGCCAGATGGGGGTGCAGGGAGCCTGCGGGGCCACCTGGCCCCAAGTGACTCAGATGGCTCAAGGAGCACCCCAGGCCACGGGCGGCTCCGTCAGCAGGCGTGCAAGCCCACCCAGAACCGGTCGAGTGCCCCCCACCCAGCCCGAGGAGCCCCCTGCTCGGTCTTGCGTGGAGTGGCCACCACTGAGGAGCAGGTACTCCAGATTTTTTTGTCTGGCAAAAACAGGTCCTGCCAGACAAACCTTGTGGGATTCCATGACAAGGTTTCGAGGTGGCTGGATGGAGGGGATGCAGTGGATGTGGTATACCTGGATTTCAGCAAGGCCTTTGACGAAGTGCCCCATGATATCCTGGTGGAGAAACTGAGGGGTTTTGGGATACACCAAAGCACTGTCCGGTGGATTAGGGCATGGTTGACTGACCGAAAGCAGAAGGTAACCATTAGCAGGGAATCATCGGGATGGCGGCCAGTGACAAGCGGGGTCCCCCAGGACTCTGTCCTGGGGCCGATCCTGTTTAAGCTTTTCATTAACGACATGGAAGAAGGGGTGAACAGTCGGCTGATCAAATTCGCAGACAACACTAAAACTGGAGCAGTGGCCACAACTGAGGAGCAGGTACTCCAGATCCAAGAGGATCTGGACAGACTATGGAAGTGGGCAGGAGACAACAGGATGGCATTCAATGTGGATAAGTGCAAGGTCTTGCACTTGGGGCATGGGAATGGGTGTCGTAAGGACAGGCTAGGGGACAAGTGGCTGGAGAGCAGCACCTGTGAAAGGGACCTCGGGGTGCTGGTCAACTGCAGGCTGAACATGAGCCAGCCGTGTGATGCGGTGGTCAAGAGGGCGAACGCCACCCGTGGTTGCATAGCCAGAAGCGTGGCTTCTAGATCGAGAGAGGTATTACTACCACTCTACACGACTCTGGTGCGCCCGCAACTGGAGTATTGCGCTCAGTTTTGGGCCCCTCATTACAAGAGGGATATAGCCAGGTTAGAGTCAGTGCAGCAAAGGGCCACAAGGTTGGTGGCCGGTTTGCAGGGGATGCCGTGTGAGGCGAGACTGAGGGAACTGGATCTCTTCAGCCTGGAGAAGAGGAGACTCGGAGGGGACCTGCGAGCGACATGCAGGCATGTGAGGGGGTGCCACACGGAGGTGGGTCACAGCCTCTTTTCCCCTGCAGTGGAGGGCAGGACGTGTTCCAGTGGAGCCAAGCCCAGGGAGCCAAGATTCAGGGTGGATGCCAGGAAGCACTTCCTGACAGACAGGGCCCCCAGGGCGTGGAATGGGCTTGCATGAGAGGCGGTTGAAACCCCACCGGTGAGGGTGCTCAAGGACAGGCTGGACATGCATGTCATAAGTGGAGCCAGCTGGAGCCGGGGGTCAGACTAGATGGCCCAGGAGGCCCCTCTGACTTCTGTTTCTTTGTTGGGGCAGTTGCATGGTTGTCATGGAGCCCATGAAGTCCTGAGCTGCCCCAGAACAGGCGCCCACAGCACGGATGCTGACAATCCCCGGGACCAGCAGCCGGGGCGACCTCAACGTGGCAGCTGAGAGAGCCCCCATCCACTCAGGCTGGGCTGCGAGGCGGGTGCTGCACCCCACCCACCCATCCCACTGGCCCAGCACAGGGCGCAAGCCCTCTGGACTCGGAGCCGGACAGGGAGGGAGCCTCGAGACCAAGAGAGACGGCCCCCCCATGGACCACCGCAAGTCCCCCTTCCTGCTGCACCCGGCAGCCAGGGGGGCAGAGCCTGGAGCGGCTGCCTCCCCCGTGCCCACCCCCAGGTCCCGGCTGCCCATGCCGGATCTGCCGCCTCCTGCACGACAGTCCCGGACGAGGGAGGCCGTGCCGTGCGCCCCCGTGGCTGGGAGGGCGAGCCCGCTCCCCGCCCGCCCGCCCGCCCCCGGCCACAGCCCCCCACGGGCCGGCCACGGCAGCCGCTCGAGGGGCCCGCCCCAGCCCGCCGCACGCGCAGGCCTACCTGCCGCGCCCTTGGCCTGGCTCGCCACCTCGTGGGCGTAGAAGGCCGGGAAGATGCCCCACTCCCCCGTGCGCATGTTGTAGCCCCGGTACCAGTAGTCGTCCTCCTCCAGTTCCACGAGGATCGGGTCGTCCACGTCCAGCTCCAGCTCGTCTTCGTGGCGAGGGATGAACCTGCAGGCGGGCGAGCCCCGGGGGGCGGCTGAGGCCGGACCGCAGCCCAGGCACAGCCTGGCAGCCCGAGAGCCTCTCCCGCACCGTGGAACCCCGAGCGCCCGGCCGGGCCGCTGCCGAGCGGAGACAAGCCCCCGCTGCGGCGCCCCACCCGGCCTGGGAAGCGAGCCTGGCACTCGGTGGGGCTGCCTCGCCCGGGACGGGGCAGGCCGGAGGGGCCGCACGGCTGGGCCCAACAGGCACCGAGCAGCCCGGTTCAGAGAGGAAGGCACACTGCACGCGCTCAGGGACTGCATCCGTGGCGCTCCCTTCGTTTAGTGCAGCTTGGTCAGGAAGGCCAGTTCGAGCTCCAGCCACGTGCCGCACAGGGTGGCGGCGTGAGCCCTCCGCTGATCGCCCCCTGCAGCTGCCGCCCGCCGTGCCTCGGGCAGGTCCCCGGCTGCGCGGGAGAGGCGGGCCGCACCGCGGGAGCGCCAGAGGCAGCCTGACGCGAGCGGCCCCTCGTGGCAATGCCGGCCCCGGAGGCCCTCGCACAAGTCCTGCGCCCATCTGCGCCCGCAGACCACTTTGGAGCTGCCCCCCCTGCTTCTCTCCTAAGCTCCGATTTTCATAAACGGGGAAAGGGCACATTAGCAGGCAGCAGAGGAAGCCCCCGAGGCTCCGCAAAGAGCCTAGCAACAGCCTGGGGGAAGAGAAAGGCGCCCACTCGAGGTGGGAGCAGGGCCAGGCCACGGACGAAGGCTGTGAGCCACCGGCAAGGAACTGCGGGAACGGCGTCCGGAGGGCTAAAGCAGGGGATGAGCTGAGACTAGCGAGGGGTGCAGAGCGCGGCAAGAAAGCCGCCTTCAGACACTTCCCGAACAAAAGACCCGAGAAAGAGAAAGGTCTCCAGCTACTTAAGATGGATCACAGAGTGATCACAGATGACAAGGGAAAGGCAGAGGCGGGGAATTCCTGCCTCGCCTCAGTTTTCTCCCTCAAGAAGGTCTACACACAAGAAATACAAGCTGAAGGTGGGCGAAGGCAGCCCAAGATAGGCAGACAACAGTCGAGGATGATCTTGATGGAATAAACATGTCCAAATCCCCAGGGGCCACGATCTCCATCCCAGAGTCATAAAAGAGATAGCGGAGAAAGGCTTGCAGCCACTGGCTAGGATCTTCGATTAATCTCAGAAACCAGGAGAAGTGCCAGGCAATGAGAAGGGCTGACATCGTCCCCAGCTTCAAAAAGGGGGGGGAAGTTGGACTGCGGAACTACAGACCAGTTAGTCTGACATCAGTCCCTGGAAAATTTTGGAAAAAATTATTTAAAAAATCAGTCTGCAAGCACTGATTTTTTCCAAGAAAATGCAGTGATTAATAGAAGCCAACATGAATTTATCTAAAATAAGTCCTGTCATATTAATTTAACCTCGTTTTTTGCCTGGATAACCTTCCAAATGAAAAGTGGAAACACTGTGGACATAATCTACCTTGCCTTTAACCAAGTTTTCGATATAGTGTCCCATGACATTCTGATAAGCAAATCAGCAAAAAGGGGACTAGATAGAAAAACTGACGGGTGGATCCAAAACTGGCTGCTAAATCAGACACAGAGTCCTCATCAAAGTCCAGTCTTAAGGCCTGGTGCGTCTCAACATCTGCATAGATGAGGATAAGGAAGTACAAGGAACAATAATCAGATCTGTAGACGATACAAAACTGGGTGGAACTCCCTAGAAGTCGGAACGAAGAGCCAGAGCAGTCTTGATGAACTTGAACGCTGGGCTGAAAGCAACAGAATGAGATTCAATAAGGACAAGTGCCAAGTCCTCCACCTGGGAAAGAGAAACCAAAGGCATCAATGCAGGATGGGCAATACGTGACTGAACAGAACTGAAGAAGAAAAAGACCTCGGAGTAATTGTGGACAACAGGCTAAACATGAGCCAGCAACATGATGCAGCTGCAAAAAAGGGCAAATGCTATACTAGGATGCTTAAATAGAAGCATTACTTCCAAATCACGAGAAGTAGCAGTTCCCCTATACTCCTCACTGGTCAGACCTCATCTAGAATCCTGTGTCCAGTTCTGGGCACAAAGATGGAAGAAAGATGCAGAAAAATCGAAAGGGTGCAGAGGAGGGCAGGGAGAATGGCCCAGGGTTTGGAAACACTGCCCTGTGGGAGAGACTGAGAGAACTGGGCATGTTCAGCCTTGAGAAGAGAAGTCGGGGGGGGGGGGGATGACATGAGATCCCTCTATAAGTACCTGAAGGGCTGTCACAATGAGGAAGGTCAAGCTCTCTTCCTGCTGGTGCCAGAGTGTAGGACATAGAATGATCAAGTCAAGTTGCGACAACCCAGATTCAGGCTGGATACCAGGAAAAGCTTCCTCACTGTCGGAGCGATAAGACAGGGGGACCAGCTGCCCGGAGAGGAGGGGGCTCTCCCCCACTGGGGACATTCAGGGCGAAACTGGGCGGCCCCCTGAGTGGGATGGCATGACGTGGGGCCCTGCAGCAGCTGGGGCTTAGATGCGATGGCCTTCTGGGCCCTTCCAGCCCCGCTATTCCATGAAAACTCCTGCCTCTGGGCTTCTCTTCACACATCCTGCCCTTCTTGACCGAGGTTTCTTTTACGTGTATTCCCGACCCTGTGGGGTCTCTCTGATAGGACCCTAGGTCACTGGCCCTTGTAGCTTGGCCCTCGGGGGAAATTGCGTGCTTCCCTGGCTGCTTTCCGGGGGCCGTGGGGGGCTTTCTAAAACTGTCCCAGCGGCTCACTCGGTGTGGACAGTCACGTCCAGAGACGCACCGAATTGTCACGGACAGGCCTCCCATCGCAGCGCATAAGCATTTGTGCTGTCAGGCCACAGTTCTTCACCAAATTTTCCACTGAGCATGTTATTTCTAAAACAACATATAAAACCCAGGTGGAACCGCTTTGTCCTCACGAGTGCGGAAAGAGCAGAGCCCGCTGCCCCTTCCAGCTCGGCTATTCCGTGAGTGCGCTACGATCATGCACGCAGATAGGAAATTGGGGGCCCGCTGGCCACGTGGTGCTGTTCGCATGTCTGAACCGCGTTGGGGCATTGGAGGAGTGAATATTTTGGCAAGTGAGGAGAACGGAGACGCCTAGTTCAGAAGTAACATGCCGAGGTGGCAGAGTTGCAGAATGGACCTCGGAAGGCATCCTTGCTGATGAATTTGGGGAAATCAGCTGCTCGGGATGTGGATGAACTCGCAAAGGGAGCGCAAGAAGTCCAGATGGGACAGAACGAGCCAAAGAAGGACCCATTCCGGGTCCAAAGTCCTGCTCTTCGTCAAACAGCTCATGAAGAAACCATGAAAGAAAGAGCCAGGGCGAGGGAAAGCGAGGGTGCGACACGGCCCTGCCACTAAAAGAGCCACACGTGTCAGCTCTATGGCTCCCTTTTGCTCCAGCTCAGGAATTTCATTTGGGTTAAAAAAATCTTTACAATGAAGACACGATCCCAAAACGGGTCTTAGAATTCCTTTCAAAAAGTGTTTTTCCTGGAATAACCAGTCTGTATTTTTACATCTGCTCTTTCGGGCATATATAAAACCGCATGAGGCCTGAGGGCAAAGTGTGGGAAGACTTCTGGCCGGGCCTCCATGCCAGAAGTCGGGAGTCCTGCAGAGCCGGGGGCCCTCGTTCGTTCGTTCGTGGGAAACAGAATGGGAAGCGCTGGCTGCTCTCTCGGGGCCCACTAAGCCCGGAGCCCCGGGGCCGGAAGCCCTCCGCTCGGACAGGCCTCCCCACCCGGCCGCTGTGGGGGCCACGGCTCCCCCTCCCCCTCCTCACCTGAAGACGGCCCGGTGCGTCTGCTCCCGCTCCTCCCCGTTCACCAGGCAAGAAAACAGGCCGAAGGACTCCGTACCTGGGGGGACCAAAGAGGATTGCTGCAGGCAGAAGGTCCCCCCGGGACGCGCAGCGGGGGGGCAGGCTGGGTGGCGCATAGTGGGCTCTGCCAGTCCAACGGGGAGCCTGGCACAGAGGCACTGTTGGCTGCGGCCACAGGGGGGAGAGCCGTCACGGGGGGGGTGGATCTGGCGGCTCTCGCCAACTGGCAGCCGGGGCCCTGCCCTGCCCTGCCCTGCCCTGCCCTGCCCTGCCCTGCCCTGCCCCGGGGCCCGGAGGGCCACGCAGGGCCGGCGTGCCCCCGGCAAGCACGGTGCCCACCCACCGCCCGGCGGCCAGAGCTGCGGTGCTTACTGGAGGAGCGGGTCGTGCTGTTGACGAAGACGTTGAGGAATTTCTTGGAGAAGTGGAGGTCGGCCTCGGGGGAGGAGTCCTCGGAGGAGGAGCTGCGCCCGTCCACGGCCCCCAGCCCCTCCCCGAAGTCGCTGGCGACCTCCTCCAGGTCGGGGGCGTCGTCGCAGGCGCACAGCAGGTCACTGTCGTCGCTCAGCACCGAGGTGCAGCGCTGGAGGCTCACCAGCTCCAGCTGGGTGTTCTCGTCCACAACCAGGGTGTACTTGACCGAGTCGTAGGCCAGGGAGCTGTCCAGCACCAGGGCGGGGGGCAGCGGCGGCAGCTCTTCCGAGAACGGGGAGCCCTTCCGGCTGCCCAGGGAGGGGGCCTCCTCCTCCTCCGGGGAATAGGCCAGGCTGAAGCCGCGGTTGGTCTGGGCGGTGGAGACATCCAGCCCCTCGCCGCGCTCGAGCCGGATGTCGTCGATCATGTCACTGTCCCCCAAGATGCCCGAGTCGAGGTCCCCGTCGATCTCGCAGTCCTCCGGCAGAGCGGCCGGCTCCTCCTTGCCGGGGGCCTCCCTGGGGGGCAGGCCCTTGGGGCCGGGCACGCTGCCGCAGCAGCCGGAGAGCGGCCGCCCCGGGAAGACGGGGGTGATGGTGTCGTTCGTCATGTTGCTCAGGAACAGGCAGGGCCCCGTGCGCCCCGCGGGAGGCTCGGCTTCGGCTTCGGCTACGGGCCCGGCCGTGGCGCGCTTCTCGTCCTCGGAGCACTGCAGGGCGGTGCGCAGCGTCTCCATGTCCACCAGCTCGATGCTCTGCGGGGCGCGGGGCTGGCCCTCGCTCAGGGCCTCGCTGTGCAGCTCGGGCTCCAGGTCGGAGGCGGGGGAGATGGTGTCGGCGAGGGAGTGGGTGGCCGGGAAGCGCTCGTCCGCGCACTTGATGGGGTAGGAGCCCTCCGAGATCATCTTGTTCACCAGGTTGCTGAGCAGCCAGGGCGAGTCGGAGTCCTCGCTCACGTCGGGCTCCGACTCGGAGTCGGACTCGGAGTCGGACTCGCTGTTCCCCTCGTCCTCGTCGTCCCCTTCGGGCATCAGCTTCGGCCCCACCGGCAGGTAGAAGGAGCGGCGCAGGCTCTCCAGGCTGTGGTCCGGGTTGATCTCCAGCTCCAGGTGGCCCGAGAGCGGCACTTCAGTCTGGCCCACGGGCGCCGACGGGTCCTCGAAGCACTCCTCGATCTTGAGCGCCGTCAGGCCCTCCTCCGGGGGCCGCCCCAGGCCCTCCTCGTCCTTGGCGGTGTCCAGCAGCAGCGCCCCCTTCAGGCCCAGCACCCCCTGCGCCTCCAGGTCCCCCTCCAGGTCGGCCTCGGAGCCGGGGGAGCTGGCCTCCTCAATGGAGTTGGTGAGGTGGGAGGAGCGGCCGCTGCTGCTGTCGCTGCTCAGGTCCAGCTCGGTCTCGGAGATGCTGGAGATCATGTTGCTGGCCAAGCGGCCACCGCTGCCCGCGAAAGCGGCCTCCAGCTCGCCGTCCACGTCCGAGTCGGAGCCGGGGGAGCTGAGGTCCTCGCTGCACTGGCCGCGTGGCGGGAAGCCCTTGGAGTTGCGGCTGGTGAGGTCGGCCTCGATGCCCGGGTCCGACGAGGGGGACGTGGTGTCCGAGGAGGCCGAGGGCAGCCCCCGCACGCTGGGCGCTCGGCTGCCGTGGGCGCCCTCTCCTTCGGAGCTCAGTGGCCCGGGGGCCGCCTCGGCTGGGCTCCTGTGGGCGCCTGCGGCTCGGCACCCCCCGGATCCTGCGTCGCTGTGGCCCTTTCCAGGCTCCTCGTCGGAGAGCAGGCTGCCACCCGGGTCAGCTGCGGAAATGGAGCGGCTGCGCCCTGCCCGTCCTGCCACGGAGCCCCCGGCCCCCTCCTGCTCCTCCGGGGATGCCCCCACATCCCTCTGAAATCTGGCACAGTAGCTCTCCGTGGCAGGTGGCCTGGGGGGGCTGCTGTGGGGGCACTGGGGCTCTGGGCCTTTTGGTGCCCCGGGAGGCAACTCGGCAGGCACCTGGCCAGAGGGAGCCGAAGCCAGCTGCGCGTCGGCCACCGAGGAGACGATGTTCATGTTGTAATCCTCGCCGGGTCGTGCGGGAGAGAGCGGCCCTTCCCGGCCGTTGCCTTCGGCATCGTACGGAGGTGGCTTGCACGGAGCCAGCGCGGGGGCCGGGCCTTTCCCGCCCTGCATGCCCAGGCAGAGCCCGTCCTGGAGACATGGGTGCGAGGGGGACGGTCGCTCTGCAAGGGAAAGCAGACAGCCCCGCTCAGGGCCTGCAGGCCACCGCTCGCCACCCTAGGGCCACAGCAGAGCTCCCTGGGCAGGGCCTGATGGGACCACCTCCCCTCCAGCAAGCCCCCAGCCCCGGGGAGCCCCACCTGAGCCTCATGGCCACCAGGCGGGTGGCAGGCTGGGGCCCCGAACTCCCTGCCCAGTGCTCCGAGAAGCAGGGCTGCTTCAGGCTTCGGCTGCTGGTGCCTGGGGCCATTTCAGGGCCGGTCTCGGGCGCCAGCAGTCAAAGGCGATTCCCTGCATGCTGCGGACCCCTGGCAGGCACCAGCATCTTTGGAGACTCGCACCGCAGTGCAAGTTAAGCCTGTGGCTGAGTCCCCGAAAGATGCTGCACCAGAGCGGGGAACAGGGAAGGTGCGGGCCACACCCTGAAGTGCCCCGCAAGTGGCTCCGAGCTTCTGTGGGAAGACCAGCCGCGTCTTTTCGCCTTCTGGCCCCGTCCAAGGGACTTCTGGGCAAGGCCAGCGGAGTGGGTTGCCCGAGCCCCCACCGTGAGCTGTCTGCCCCAGGCGGCCCCACACGGCATGGCTCGGAGCTTCACTGCGCTGCACAAGCCCCTCTGCCACGACAGGGCAGAGACCACGGAGGGGGACCAGACAAAACCCGTCCCGAAAGGACCGAGCAGCATTCAGCAGGCCGACAACAGTCCCTGCCGGGACCGCCACGCCTCGAAGGCCTGCCGGGCCCCTGCAGACCGATCTGCGCAGGCCGCCTTGCGAAGGGCCATGGCTCAAGATGCGCAGGGCGGGCTGGAGAGGGGCAGAGGGCAGGAGGGGAGGGGCCCCAGACCCTGCCTGGGACCCACTGCTGGGGGAAAGCGGGGGGCAGCTCACCGGTGTGCGGCACGGAGGAGGCCGCCGAAGTCGTGGTGGAGTGGAGCAGCGTCTCCTGCCAGGTGGCCCGCTGCAGGCGGGGCACGGGTGGGCACCTGCTGTTGTTGTTCAGGGAGTCCTGGGCAGGAGGAGAGAGAGCGGCACGTGAACCGCGGGCGCGCGGGACGAGCCCCTCCGCGTGCGGCAGAGGCCCTGAGGCGCGTCCGAGCCGAGCGGCTGGGCCAGGAGCAGGGCAGGGCAAAGGCGCCCGCGGCACACGCCGCGGTCAGGGGGGCCGGGCACCTCTGAGGCCCTGCCGTGGCGGCCGCTTCTTGCAGGGCACAGAGCAGGGAGGCGAAGCGGACTGCTGAGCCCGGGGATGGGATGCCACCGGAAGCTCGGTGCAGGCGCTGCTAGGCAGTGCTGGGGGGGCACTGTCCTGGGGAGGGTCGTGGCTCAGCCGTGGGGCCCCACTTCCCACACAAACAGGTCCCGCGCTCAGTCCATGGCGGCACTTCCAGGAGAGCCCCCTAGTCCGCAGACATGTCTGCCCGGGGATCCACTGTATAAAATGCACCGGGCGCTTTTCCTGACAAAGTGACCCCCGGTCTGGGGGAACCCACGCAGACGCTGCGAAAGCGAGGCACGGGCAGCATGGCTTTGGAGGAGCCACTCCGGCTGCACCGGTGGCAGGTGCTCCCACAGGCCACACCTGCGCGCCCCAGCCAGGTGAGCCCCGCCTCCGTGCAGCTCGCATCCCAGCCACCTGCGACTCCAGCCGCGCTCCCTCCTGCAGCCGTCCTGGCGTCCCTGGTCTTCCCAGCACACGCCGAGTGCTTGCGAAGGTCCCTAGTGCCTTCAGGGAGCCTGCGTGCCACTCGCCGAGGCACGTTGGTATGGCAACTGGCCCCCAGCCGCGCACGGGCCTTTCTCTCTGGAATTGCTGTCCCTGTTCACACGCTGCTTACACAGAAATCCAGATGAGGCTGCCAGGCATTCGTTTCGCCCCTCTGCTTTCTGCGCCACCAGCCATGTCCGCTCGGACCCGATGCTGGATTGGCACTTTTGGCAGAGAGCTTCGGCCGGGCGGGCGCAGCGCCATGGGGGCGACTCGAGGCTCGTGCGCCTTTAATCAGAAGCTTCCTCCTCGCAGCTTCTGCTTTCGTTGTGATCTCTTATTCAGCAGAGCATACGAGTAGCTGGGGGACAGAGGATGAATTGCTGGCCGATCAGCCAGCTTTTCTCTCCTGCAGAGGGGCTTAAATGACTGACTTTTTTCGTAATGTTTTTCGTTTGCAAACGCTATTTTGCTATAAAAGAAAGAACCAATTAAGAGGCAGCAAGCAGAACGGCCGGGCATTCACGGAGGAATCCACTAAGTAACTGTGCAGCTCTTCTTGCTGAATGTGACTCATTGATGAGTAAATATGGCGGAAAGAGCTGGGCCTGCTGGGAGCACAGGGCTGAGCTGCACGCGGGAGACCGACCCCTTTCGTGCGCCTCTGTTCAGCCGGGTGGGAGGGACGGTCTTGGCAGCTCCAAGCAGCCTTGGTGCAGAAGCAGCCTGGGCTGATGCGCAGTCAGAGCACGAGAGAAATGAGGCCGGGGGCCGGGGGGGGGGGGTCAGCCGAGCAGTTCCACTCTCAGGAAGGGGGAGTTGCTCCCACCTATGCTGTGCCGAGCAGCTTCCCCCCAGCCGGTGCTGCCCAGTGTCTTGGAGCACAGCTCCCAGCGTCCCCAGGCAGTGAGGCTGGGAATTGTAGTGCAACTGCGCACGAGGTCAAGTTTTGCTGCATTTCACTGCATGGTGCCTGGTTTCCGTGAGGCCGCGTGACTGGCAGGAGGAGCCACCGGGCCGTGCATGACCTGCGTGTGTTTCGCAGGGAGCCTCCATCTGGTTCTGGGCCTGGGGATGGGAGGGCAGGTCTGGGGGGAAGCCCCCCCAACACTCTTGACCACTCAGCAGATGAGCAGGGCGGTGGGGGGAGGCCAGAGAGCATTAATCTGAAAGGGGATTAAGTGCCTGCACATGGAATTCCATGCGACGGGCTGAGGAGCCCACATGTTCCAGGAAGGCACACGCCGTGGTCCCAGCGCCCGGCCGGGCAGCAGCCCCAGGGAAACCGCAGCCCAGGGGCGGCCTCCCCGCCGGGAGGTGTGCAAGGAGGGGCATGGCCCTGGGGGCAAGGAGGGGGCAGGCCTCGGGCTCGCGGCTGCCCTCGGTCTTCCCACTGGGACCCCAAGAGCCACCAGGAGCAGCACAAGCAGCAAGCGCTCGGAATTACGGCGCCTCCGGAGTCGCGGAACTTGTTCTGAGCACAAAACTGAGCAGAGCTCTTTGTCCTTCCAGTGGAAACCTGCTCCTGGCCCCAAGCGCCTTTCCGCAGGTCCACAGCGGGATTCTGGCGGCGGCGAAGCCCTTCTGCGGCTGGTGCGGGCAGACCATCGGGAGGGAGAGCGAAGCCCCGGGGCAGCCGACACAGTGTCCGCGGGGCTCCCGGGTGCATTGCGCACGGCCCGTTTTGGGGAATGGTCCAGGGGAAAGGGGGCTTTCTACCCTCTTGCCTGGGCAGGACTCCCCTCCCCCTCCCCCTCCATCGTCATCATCATGGAGACCGCACATGCATCTTCCTGCTCCGCCCCTTCATTCTGCCTCCCCAGAGTGAAATAAGGGCGACCACCCCCTCTGGCAGCGCCGGATCGGGGCATCGCCTCCCCCACCGCAGCTTCCCAGCCTTTCCCTCCCCACCTCTTCGCACTGTGGCGGGGAAGCGGTGGCACTCGGCAAGCCCCAGAAGGCTGCCGCCAAGGGCGGGGCGAGGCGAGGCGAGGACCGCTCCTCCGTCATCCCTGAGTGCAGGGCATGGAGAAAGGGGCTCGCGCGGCCGGACTTGGGACCGATCTCCGGGGGGGGCTCTCCCACGTGGGAGGCACCCGAGCTGCGGCTGGCCACTTTGGCTTGGTGTCCTGCGCCCAGGGGCCGGGCCCGATGGCCCCGGCTGTCTGCGGTTCTGCAGGCGCGCCTCCACTGGCCGTGGCCGGCGCAACCGCTTGGAGCGCAAGCGGCAAAGCGGGAGAGACGCATCAGAAGCGGCTGGGGGCCTTGGAGTGGCGCAGCAGGCGGCGTCCCCCCCTCAGAGGCTTCGGCGCACCGGCCCACCCAGCCAAGCCGTGGCGCGTCCCCCCACGGGGCGTAGCCGCTCCGGGTCCGCCGCCGAGGTCACCCAGTCGGGGTGCTGAGCGAACGCGGAGCCCCTACCTGCGTGCCTGTCACAGTCAGGTTGAGCGTGGTGGGACGGTGCTTCTGGGTCTCCTCGGAGGTGGGCGAGGGGATTGGCGACGCCGAGGGGGAGGGCGGTGCTTCCTCCAACCCATCCCCGCCTCCTCCTCCCTCCTCTTCCTCCTCCTCCTCCTCTTCATTGTCGTCGATCATCTCGAACTCCTGGAAGTCATCCTGGAAGGTGCAGGTCGGGTGCGGCTGCTCGCATCTCTCCAGCACCAGGCAGTCCTGGAAGGGAAATGGCGCGATGGAGGCTGCCCGGGGGGGGGGGGGGGGGGGGGGGGGGGCCGGGGGCCCCCGGGGGGGGGGGGGGACTCCCCCCCCCCCGGGGGGGTACCAGGCCCCCCCCCCCCCCCCCCCCC